GGGGCGTGTGGGGGCCGCCATGGCCGTGTGGGGCGGATCCTCTCCAGTCATACGATCCTGGCCTCGGCGGGGCGCGGCGGGGCGCGGCAGGGAAGACATATCTCTGTTCCAAGCGAGCAAACGCCTCGCCGACCCCTTCCCTGCACCCCTCACCCTCCCCCTGTGCGCCCGCTTCTCTTCGCTCTCTCTCTCTCTCTCTCTCTCCTCTCCGCCCTCAACCCTTATACTGAAGAAGCAAATGAGCGGGAAGGAGGGGAGGGGGAGGAGGCCGAAAAGGGTGGCAGACGTGATTTGTAGTGCAGTGACCAGCACGCGACGCACAGGCACACACATACGCACGCACGCGCGCGCGCACGCAGCTAACCCTTCGAACAAACACACTTACGAGCACGCACACGCACACACACACACACACACACACTTACACTGTCCGTTCACGTCCACCCACCCCTTGCACTCACACACTCCCACACAGGGGCTACGGTAAAGGCACGCACTCGCCGGTCGATCTCATTTGCATTTAAACAAGTCTCATCGGACGCTCCTTGTCTCGGCGCGCGCGGGGCGGACCAGTAGTTGCCGTACCTGCTGCAGGGGAGAGAGGGGCCTTTGCCTTTGTCTCTCAGGGAAATTTGGAGCAATTTCTCTACCCACCCCTCCCCTCGCCGTTCTGGTCCGCTGCGCCGGGCTTGGTCCCCGACAGAAGACCACGAGTGAATCCAGAGCTGTGTGGTGGTGCGTTGCCGCCTCGTTGTCGTGTAAAGTCGAATAGACGTCGTATTTTGTCGTGTGCGAGGGACAAGGCGACAGACACTTCAATAGACACTTCAGTTCTAAAGCTTTATTATTTGGCGGCTAGGCGGGCGCGATTGGTGGGGCGTGCCCACCACGGCGGACCCGCGGGCTTAGGTGTGGGCCCACCCCTGCGGCCCAGCCCCGTCTGCGGCCTCCCGGGGGCGGCCAGCCCCAGGGCGTCCACGGGGCCCAGCTGCCACTGCGCATGCACCGAGTGCACCCACTGGTCCTGCTGGTCGCGGGCCCGCTGCTGGGCCGAGCGAGGCTTCCCCTTTAACCAAGCCAAAGGGCTGATTTAGAGCGAACAGTCACAATTTTTCAAAGACAAAAACAAGAAGACAAACATTTTTGAAATTTGGCTGGGGAAAATCATTCAATTTTACCGATTTTTTGTTTGTTTGTTTTTGTTTTTTGCCGACGAGCGGCAGAAGCTCAGCACAGTACCTTGGTTTTCACCTTCCAACGCTCCGGCACAGAGGGCGCCGGGGGCGTCGGCGGTGGAGGCGCCTGGAGGGCGACGGCGAGTGTTGGCGTGCCGGGGGCGGCCGCGCCCAGGCAGAGCGCGCTCAGGTCCACCAGCAGGTCGTCGTCGACGACGTCGTCCTGGCCGGGCGGGTGCTGCAGCCGGGGCGGGCCATCGCCGCCCCACCCCCAGAACCTGCGCGACGACAACACGGGCGCCTCGTCAGCGGGGACCCGCCGCATAAAGAGCGAGCGCGGCGCGAGCGCACCAGGCGGACACAATAAAGACGCCGCCCCATTTCCCAAACTGCCGCCCGTTTCCTGATTAGCGCCGCTCGTGACGCTGGCGGAGCAGGGCGGAGCTCCGCGCGGTGCGTTCGCTTTTCCGCCGTCGGGGGCGGCGGGGGAAAGGGGTGGCGCGGCGTGGCGCGGCGTGCGAGGCACGCCCGGCCCGCGCGGTCCGCAGTGTGGAGCGTGGAATGCTGTGGGAGGGGAGCCGCCGGGCTGGGGCTGGCCGCGGAACGCCAAGGGTTGAAAATGAAGGGAAGGGCCGGCCCGAAAGAGAGGGGGCTGGAGGAGGACGGGGGAAGGGGTGCGGCCGGACACGTGACGCTGATGGGTTTTGGCGCGCAGAGAGGAAGTCCGAATGGAGAGGAACTAAAGTCATTCTCCACGTGCGAGACGCAGCGGCCGCTCCTCCTCGCCCCGCCACCACCTCCCTCCTGCGGTGTGGGAACCCATCAATGGACGCCAGTCATCGTGGGGGTACCGTTCCTTGGTGCCGAGACCACCATCCAGTCTCCAGGAGGACTTAGCGCATCGGTCGTTGCGGCGAGCTGCGCCAGCGCCCTACGACACTCTCCAAGTTTTCGCACACCCTGCCGCCCGTTTTGCTCACGACAGTTTTGACTTTGTCGCGTTCCATTTACTGCGTACCCCAGATCCGGCTGCTCGCGGCCCGGCTGCGTGGCGTCGTGCGGGCTGCCCCGCTCCTCCCCGTCGGCCTGCTCGGGGGCCCCGGAGGCCGGCGCGCAGCACTCGGCACAGCACGGCTCGCCGCACGGCCTGCGAGTTGTCGCGGGGTGGCTTCCGGTGGCGGAGTCACTGGCGCGCCTTCCGCTTCCGGTGGCTCGGTGCGGGGCGCGGCGCGCACAGGGCGGCGCGCAGGATGCCTCGCGGCCCCGCGGCCCCGGCCCGGCCCCGGCGCGGCGGCCGTGGCCTTGGGAGCCGCTGCCACCGCTGCTGCTGTTGCTGCTGCTCAGGCTGCTGCTCCTGCTGCCGCTCCTGCTGCTCGTCGTCTGCGTCGTCGTGTTGGTGAACCTCGCGGTGGACGCGGCGGCGGCCGCGGCGGCAGCAGCAGCAATCGCCGCCGGAGTCCTCGAGCGACAGTACTGGCTCTGCAATCGGCAAAACGATAGCGATGACAGACCGTCTGCCGGGTAGGCAACCCACCCGGCAGAGGGAATTGCCAGTCCGGGTAGGCAAACAACAGGCCTGTGCGGGGAGTGCCCGACGCCACCTGACCTCCGGCCGCGCCGCCCCGCGCTCGTCCTGGCGGAGGGTGAAGTTTGGGGCGCGCATGCATAATGAAGCCGAGGTGGCGAAGGCGCCCCTACCTCAGCCGAGCTGCCCCGGGTAGCGGTGCCAGCCCGCGGGAGGGGGCGCGAAATAACATTTCAACAAATAGCACTGCGCCCACGGAAACATAGACGTCTATAATTGTTATTCATAATCTTAAAACATGAATTTTGTAAACTCTTATTCAGCAAACGGCCGTAACCCAACGAAATGAATACAGCCATGTGAGTTGACATCTTCAGGATCCCAAAACTACATCGCATCCCAAAGTGACGCTTCGTTCGCAGCCTCCGCACTCACCGCGTGGCGCGTGGTCCGGCGGGCGCGCTGCTGCCGCTGCCGCTGGTGGAGGGCGACGCGGGCCGAGGCCATGTCCGGCACGGTGATGGACGTGACGGTGAGGCGCGGCCGGCCCTGGCTGCTCTGGAGCCGCACGGACCGCACGGCAGCCTGCCCCTCCTCCTCCTCCTCACCTGGGGGCGCGCAGGGTCACTCTTAGCAGCACGGCGACAAATAACGGCCAGGCCACGCCGCGCTGCGCCACGCCGGGGCCGGTAAATTATGGGCGAGGCTTGGCCTCCCCCTGCCCCCACCCCGCCCGCCACACCGCCCCTCCGCCTCGCAGTCATTTGCTGTTGCGACGATAAATTTGGTTGGATGCCGCTCGAGGCGTGGCACGGGGCGTGCCGGTCCGGGGCGCGCACGGCCTCGGCCCCCGTCACGCCGCGACACCTCGCGACACACCACCGCCTGATTCCGGGCCCTGAATTACCGCCGGGAGATTATTTGGACCGTCGGCCGCCGTCGGCCCGGCTATGGGAGGGTCGTCACTCACCCGCCTCCCCCGCGGCGTGCACGTCGCCGTCCCGGGGCGCCATCAGCACGGACAGCAGCGGTAGCAGCCTGGCGCCGAGCTCCCTGCGGACAGCACGGAGGCATCATACAACGGCGGTGAGCGTAGCCGAGCGCAGCAGCAGCCGCCGCCTGCGAGCCGAGCGTAGGCCGGCCGCCGCACAGAGCTGCGCGACGGGCCGGCCTGCCGCCGGGCGCTCTGCGCTCTGCCGCTCACCTGTTCCACGCCGCCGAGCCCACGCTGCCGGTGCTGCTCTGGCACCGCGCGCCGGCCTCGCCCGTCCCCGAGGGCGCGGACCTGGACGCGCGTCGCGGTGCCGACGACGAGGCCGTGACCCCTCTGGCCCCGGCGGCGGCCCGCGATGGCGCCCTGGAAGCGGCGCTGCGGAAAACAACATCATAAGTCACCGGCGGCGCGGTGGTCTTTGTCTTTGTTCGCCGTCCCCTCCCCGGGCCGGGACTCATAACTGCGGTCAGTAAAGAGGGTCGGGGGAGCACGGCTCGCCAGGCTTCCTTCTGGGGACATAAATCGCCAAAGACGATTTTTCGTTCGCCTCTGCAACTTTTTTCAGTCAATCTTTTAGAGGTCGGAGTGATCGTCAGCGTGCCCCTCCTGGTGCTGACGAAGTTGGCACGGAGGAAAGATACGAAAGGGGCCCATTCCGGTCACACTGCTGGACGTGGCTGGCGAGTATTAAGGCGCGCGACGGGCGAAGCGGAGGTCAAGTGCAGCCCGGGAGCGTGTAGGCCGGTCGGATAGGATGGCTGTTTCCAGCCCCCAAGACTATCGGGTGGGACTGCTCGGGGACGAGAAAGAGGATCTGAAGGACGACGCTTGAAACGGGAGCGGGGGATGCCCTCCCCATGGGCCTCTACCCGCTTCTCACCTTAACGACGTCCTCGACCCGGCGTGGCCCCCACCCGAGGCCGCCGACGCTCCGGAACCCGAGCTCGACGATCTGCAAGACAGGAGGGTAACGGTCAGCGCCACGACCCTTCCACATCAAGCACAGGCAGGTTGAGTACTCACGTGGCGCAGGTGCGGTCAGGGGCGCGCGGGCAGCAGGCGCGGCCGGGCCCCGGCGGGGCGGCGCCGAGCTGGCGACGGTCCTCCAGGACGGCTGGCCGGACGCTCACCTCGGGTGGGGCGAGCAGGCGCACCGACGACACCCCGGCCACTGCCGAGCTCATGCCCGGCAGGTGCTCCGAGCCGCCGCGACGCAGCCGCACCAGGCCGAGGCGTGTCGGCACCACCACGGCGTCCTGCCGCCTGTAACGGACAGAACATTGTGAGCCTCTCAGCAGCAGCACCACCACGCGGAGGAAGCACTGGTGCACGTACGTCAGCGTGTTGCGGTGCAGGCGAAGTCCGAGGGGCGCCGTCAGCACGCTGTCCATCGTCAAGGCCGCCGGCCGCGCAGCGCGCGCAGCGCCGGGCCTGCGGAGACAACACAGTCAAGTGGCTCCCTCTCTCCTCCTTTTTATTTCAATTTTCCCACGGTCGTGTGGCGGCGTGGCGCGGCGCCCGCTCTGGGGGCCGTTTTGCCGGCGGGCGCGCAGGCGGGTCGGGCTGGGGGGCGGCCGGGCCGGGGCGGCCCTCGGTGGGCCTACGGCAACCTGTTGCGATACACGCGGGCGTGGCGCGGCTGGGCTCGGTCCCTGCCGGCTCGGCTCGGCCCGCCCCGCCCGAGTATGACTGGCAGGCGACAGGGGACCTCACCCTCGACCCCACCTCGGGTCCGACCCAACCCTGCCCAGCCAGAGGGATGCCCGCCCCGCCTCGCCCCGCCACCGCAGGCCGCACCCCCGCGCCACCACCACCCGCCGACCAGCTGGTCCAACTTTTTCCCCCGCTGCGACCAGAAATTAAATAAAAAGTTGTCGCCCGGGCGCGTGCTGGCGCGTGCGGTTTGAACCTGCCGCCCTCCCAGCCCCGTCTCGCCCGCACGCGTGTTGACGCGCCGTCTGGCACGGCCAGGTCACCCCGCGCCTAGCCCTCGGCCCCGCTCGGCCCGGGGCGCATCAACTAAATAATAAAGTCAGCCGGTCCCTCCCCGACGGAGGGAGGGACCTCCGCGTTGCGTGCGAGACGGCCAGATTGGCGTGCAGCGGGCGCGGGGCCGTTCAGGGGCTGCTGCACTCTGAGCATAGCCCGAGCAGGGCAAAGCTGACCGAATGAGACTGAATCACACGATAACATTTTGATAGAAGTGAAACAACAATCCATGCTCCGCTACCAGTTTGCTGTCGCGAGCAGGAAGGAGTTCCAATTACCCCTGGTTGCAAGTGCAATGCATGGTGGCGGCTAGCGTGAGTCAGCTGGAGTAGGAACGTTATGGCGGGAAGGAAAGCGATTAGCAGGCCACGCTCAGGTCCGCTCACGGGGTCCCACCCCACGATCGCCGCCCCGCCGCAGCTGTCATGTGGTGCAGCTGCACACCTCGCAACTCCTCATGGCCACCTCCCCCACTCCCGTCCCCTTCCTTTAACCCTTTGACTCCACAGAACACAATGGAGGAACACCGCGCCCTCGGCTTCTGATGCGGAACGCGTGTGAGAGAGGCCGTACCGTGGAGGACACCGTGGAGGACGCCACTGAGGCCACGTGGAGGCCTAGCAGGCCCGGTGTGTTGCAGTAAAGGCGCTAATCTAGCTCCCCCTCCCCCGTCTCTCCCCACCCGGCCCCAACGTCTCTCCAGGCCCTTCCCTTGCCACCCCTTCCTTCCTGGACTTGGCAATAAAACATGTCCCCTCAGCGCGCGGCATGGCGCGGCGTGGCGGAGGCCCCCCTAGCGCCCGCTGTAGCGCCGCCACCGCTTGCAAACACCGAAAAGCAGTAATTATGAGGCATAATTTCCTGCGCCTGATTTATAATTGTGGCAGATTTGTATTATATTTAAGTCTGGTGAAAGGGTTGCCAGGATGTGCGCTCGCAGGTTATGGCGCTGTGCGGGGGTGGGGAGAGGGTGCCGGGGGCAGGAGCAGGGCGCCCACACCAGGGCTCTCCGGGCCCCCGGCGCCTAATGTCGGCGAGAAGCGAGGCGAGGAGCGTGGCGCGCCCCTCCATCCCCCGCGGCGCAAAGGGGACGACTCCTTTTCCATGGGAATTGAAATAGGCTTTTTAAAACTGCCGCCGCCCTCGCAGGTCGCCCCCCTTCCCCCCACCCCTTGCGCCTCTACACTGCACGCCAGGAGGGAGGAGGGCGGCCGCCCCCCGCGCTGCGCCCCGCGGTGTCATGGTGTGTTAACAAGTCATAGAGTAACTAAATGGGTTCCCATTTGCAGCCCAGGCCTGCCGGGCAGGGCTCGGCGCGGCAGCAGCGGTAGCAGCGGCAGTAAAAAGGAGGCGGAGCGGGCCCCGGCCCTTCACCCCCGGCCCTCCGCCCCCCGCGGTGCAGCAACTGCCAGGTCCCACGCCCCGAGCAGTTAGGCAACCCGGTCGTCACGCGGGCCGCCGGGGCCCCCGGCAGGGGCCGACCAACCAAACGCCCCTTCGACTCTCACCTCACCGCTCCGCAACGCCTCTGCTCGCTGCTCCTCGAAATTTCGGATTTCAAGCCTGTCCAGTGGGGGCGAGGTGGGGGCGGTGGCGGCTGCGGAGGCCAGCTGATTAATATTTCACCGGACGTCCGGTCCAGTCCTCGACAGGTCGGACGGGTCGTGCGGGGCTGCTGGCGGCGCCTGCGCCTCCCTGCGAGTCGAGGGGCTTTGCGCCGCTCGCCGGCGCCAGCTACTTAGCCAGAGGGACAATGAGCGTAGCCCGCACTGGCTAAGTACGTAGCCTGTGAGTGGGGCAGTGAGCGTGGCCGGCACTAGCTACTTAGTCGGAAGGACTGTGAACTTGTCCCGCACTGGCAACAGCACGTAGCCTTTGGGACAGTGAGCGTGGACGGCCCTAGCTACTAGGCCAGGGGGGCAGTGACGTGGGGGCGCTGGTCTGCACATTCAACTCGTTACATGCATCTCTGCAGGCGTGGGGACCTTCCAGAAGGACGAGCCTAGTTGAAGTGCCTCTCGGCTCGGGTCGAGGAGAGCGAGTATCGACAGCTGTCAATCAGCGCGCGGAGCGCCCCTACATCGAGGAGGGGCGGGGAGAGGCGTGCAGGGCCCTGCCCTGCTGCAGCACCGCCGTCCTTAGCGAGGCCGTCATCAAGAACCTGTACTTTCACTTCGAGGACACCCGCGACGCGCCGCCGCCGCGCGGAAGCAAGAGTACCAGTACTTTCACTACGGGGGGTCTGCGACTCGGTCTGCGACGCCTGCGGGCGCACGCGATACACCACGGCGACGCCGGCGACGTAGCAGAGCCAAGATGGCCCCACGCCAGCACACGACTACTGCAGCATGGTCTCTACCAAAAATGTATCCCCCTCTTTTCGCTTTTACCATCATTACTTTGCCATTGGCCGAGTTTTGCCTTGACCTGGTTCACCGCGCTCTCTTACAAAGTGGATCGAGCAAAGTCGCCGAACAGCAACGTGTTGACATGGATCAACTACGTGAGAAACATCACTAGCACCACCACACTGCGGCGGCGGTGAAGCAGTCCGCGCCCACCTCTATCTACCACAACCACCACAACCCTCATTGCCTCGTCACCCCCGCGCCGTCACCATTGTGTTGCGCTTCGATCGTGACACACACACACACACACACACACACACACACACACACACACACACACACACACACACACACACACACACCCATACATGCACACACACACACGTGACCTCGAGGTGATGCATGCCTGGCGAGGCGCGCGAGGGTTACGACCTCCTTGGCCTTCGCCAGGACGACCTGCACGCACGGCGGGCACGGTGCGCGCGGGTCGCGACAAAACACAACAGGGAGTCATTCGGGGTCCACAAAAACCTTTGGCCTTGACGCACCCACTCAATCAGTTTTGCTCATACTCCGGCTGGCCATCCCGGGTCCCAGCATGTCACCGCCGTGACCATTGCTGACCGCTGACAGCCCTGCCTAGGGGCTGGTGCAGGGTTTATACTTGCACCGATTCTCATTTCTTGGATACGTGTTTGGGTGGAAATCAGCCAACCGGGGCCCCGAAAACCAACTAGAACGTATCCAGCATATGACAATCGGCGACAGTATAAACCTGCATGCCGTCGCTCGCACCACACCCGCACTCACCCGATGCGCTGCAGCTCGCACGGCGCGGCGCCGCCTCAGCGACGACGTCGGCGCCCTGGTCGCCCTGGTCGCCCTCCCCAGGGGCGCCGTCAGAGCGCCGCGCCTCATCAGCCATAACTAACGCGCGGCCGCGGCATGCAGCCGGCTCCTGCAGGGCGGGGGCGCCGGGGGGCGTGCGGGGGGCGTGCGGGGGCGCCAGGCCCCGGCCGATCGCCGCCGCGACGCCTTTGCTTGCCCGCCGCCGCTCCCGCCCGCCGCGCTGCCCCCTTCCCCCCCCCCCACTTACCTGCTCGAGGCGGGGCGCACGGACACTGAAAGCTCCTTCCGGCCGCGCCGCCCCCGTCATCACCGCCGCCATGCAGGCAACAGCACACTGGTAACCGAACCAAGTGTGCAGCTGCTTTCCACTTGTAAGTGTGCAACTGCAACACGGATACTTGGAATGGTTCAACTCCATAGTTGTGGACTCGCAAGTGTTCAAGTCAGTAGCTGCGCGCCTGTAAGCGTGCGACTCCTCTGTTGGACACTTCCTTCAATTGGGATTGGACGCCCTCTGTATGGGAAGTGTATAACAGAGAGGTTGGACACTTACAAGTGTACAGCTACCGAGTTGAGCATTTGCGAGTGCGACGACGTTGAATGAATAAGAAGTTGCCCGATATAAGAGGAACAAGAAGAAGGTAGCACTGGGGAGGTGGCGTGGCGTAGTGCCGTCCCTAAACAAGGCAGAAGATGAGCGACAGTCTAGCAGAGGTTAGGATGCGTGTCGTTAGATTTCAATCAGTTTAGAACGGGCCTATGGATCTAGCACATTGGTACCAACTATACCAAAGTTTATTACCACAGTTGAGTCATTATCATTGAGTTAAAATTGTACCAATGTAATATGTCCGTACACTAACCTAAACAACGACACCGGGACGGTTTAGAAAATTGTATAAACTTACTTTTCCGAAGCCAAACTTTGCAGAAGCACTTTTCGACACCATGTTGCTACGCCGGTCTAATATGGACCCAATTTTTCTTTACAAATTCTACAAAACTTGATTTATGATCACACATTCACTTGCGATAAGACACAGTATGGTCGCCGGCGTCACCGGCGTTCTGCTTTGTTTAGGGACGGCGCTACGCCACGCCACCTCCTCAGTGCTACCTTCTTTTTGTTCCTCTTATTGGGCAACTTCCTCATACCAGCAAGTATTCAACTTGCAGTTGCACACTTGGTTTTTCAGTGCACCGCCAACTCGTAGAGCCCTAGAAAGGTAGCAGAGCTGCCTAGGCAGCTTTCCTCTTACCAGTCACAAACAAGCAACACCTATTATTTTTAAACCAATATGGGTACTAGTAGAATGCAATGTATTTCTAGACGAGTTCGATGACATAGTACAGTATTTTTTTAGAATAGTTTGAACTCAGCAGACTATTATTGTTTTATACTTTTTTACCCTCCCTTATAATATTTTCTGGGGAGACTAAGGAGCATAGATTTGGTAGGGGAGAGGCAATAACTCCCGCGGTGCTTTATCATAACTCAGAGTTCCCCTCCCCTGCCTCCTGCGGCGCGGGGCTGCGCTGCGTTAACAGTTAGAGGCGCCATCACCTGCTCAGATAACAAGGCGTGGAGGAGCGTGGCGCGCCGGCTGGCCATCCCGCCCTGGTTTCTGCACCGAATTTGTGGGGCGCTATCGCTACGCCAGAGCGTCCGGGGAGAGAGAGAGAGAGAGAGAGAGAGAGAGAGAGAGAGAGAGAGAGAGAGATAGAGGGAGAATGGAAGGGGTAGAAGAGAGGGTTGCATCTGCAGCTCGCCACAAACCGTCGCAGCACGGAGGGAAATAACGACAAACATATAATTGAAAAAGTCAACCGATACATCGAATTTTCGATCCCATCACCGCCTTACCTTTGCGAAAATTGCTCCCCTGGGGTGAGGAAGTCTGGAGGTGATGCAAGGATATCACCTTGACCCCCACCCTGCCCCGCCCCGCCCTGCCCCGCTCGGCTCACGCTTCCTCCACCCCCTCCTGCTCCCCTCGCCGTTAGCATCCGTTTCACTTCCGATGGAGGTACGCCCCTCACGCTCCCTCTACTCCCACCCCCTCCACCCACCCCAACCCCCGCACGCCAACCTCCTCATAACAGGCTTGCAGTTATGGTGCCCTCCTGCCCTGCCCAGCCCAGCTGGCCCGCACACCCCCACACTCCCGCAACTTCAAGTACGTTTCGTCTTTCAGAGCTGTTGGCAGGCAGGCAGGTTAGTTCTGGGTTGAGCAGCGCCCCCTCCCTCTCCCACGTAACTTCCCAGAGGGACATGGCGTTGGCGTGCGATTCGCGATAGCGCCCTACCCTGCCACCTCTCCTTCTCGCCACAGTCGGGGAACACGCCCGCCTCGTCCCGCCCCGTCCGCCCCCGGACCATCCATGGTCGTCCATGGTAGCGGGTCGCGGTCGTGCTGCGACCTTCAAGAAGGTGCCTGGGCACTCGTCAGTGTCTGGAGCATGCCGTGATAAGCCAAAGAGAAAAAGGGAAGGGGGCTAGGTAAAGCAGAAAAGCTAAACACCCATAACAAAGTTTTAGCTAGAACTTTGTTTTTACGGTAAATGAGGTATGAGGTCAGAGGATATATTCCATGGTCTTCCTAAGCAGTTGATACGATGCCCTGGTTGTGAGTTATTAACTGTCCTAGTGCGCGAGTGCAAGCGCGGGTTCGGCCTGTAGACGATTTGGGCGACCTCTGGATAGGAAGAAATCAGGAAGAAATACGACAAGCATCATGGCAGCCCATGGGAGAGATAGGGCTGGCGGCATTTGGGTGCTTTGTAACCTGCAAAGCATTTGGGTGCTTTGTAACCTGCAAAGCATTTGGGTGCTTTGTAACCTGCAAAGCATTTGGGTGCTTTAAATGTACAAAGCATTTGCTTTGAAAATGCTTTGCAAGCTTAGTTTTTGAGGATTTTTAACAGTTAAGGGCAGCCGCACGCGCAGCGCAAATATCAAAGTGGACGAGGTCACAATCAGCCTCCGACCCCGCTCTAGTTAAAGAGGCCCACTATGATGTACCAGGTATGGCTGATTAACACCCGCACATAATTCGTCACATTTAGACGGAGGGGCGGAGCGAAGCTTGAGAAAATTATTTTTAGACCGAAAAAGAGCGCTCCAGAACAAACACACTCCATGAGCTCAGCGGCAGAGGCGGTGGCGTCGAGGTCGAGGCCGCTCTCGCTACCCCTGCTACCCTCGCGCCCAGCCCCTCGGCTACGCCGCTGCGGCCGACGCTCCGCTGCCTGCGGCCCTGGCCCTGCGGCCTTGCGGGGCTCGGGGTGCGGCTTTTCAATCTCACGGCGCGGCATTAAACTCCTCCTCCGTATGTGGGCCGGGCCCCGGGCGGAGCGGGGCTGGGGGCGGCCCGGGGCGGCCTGACCAGAGGGCCTGCATGGCGAGGGGGTGGGGCCGGGTGGGGCCCAATAACCCAGAGGGGCTTACGTTGTGTTCGGTAGGAACCTCATGTCGTCAAACGCAGCCGTAAAACAAGGGCCCGCAAACTGCAGGCCGTCCCCGCCGGGCCGGGGGCGGGCCGAGGGGCAGAGGGGGCCGCTGTGGGGCCGGGCCGGGGGCAGGACCTTCTCTCTGGGGGTCTCTGCGCTGCCGGCCCCATCCACATCCACGCCGTGCCGTGTGGCCACTGGAGCCCTATAGCCCTGGAGACGAGAGCGAGAGTGACGGAGAGACTGCGGGTGGGAGAGAGAGAGAGCGAGAGAGGAGCCGGGCTGCTCTGGGGCGAAAGTGTAAGAATTGGAAAGGGCGAGAGCAGCCGGCGGCGAGGCTGCCGAGGCTATCTGGCGCACTACATGCGATGCAAGGGCGGGGCGGGGAGATTTACCCGCGGCGACCTCAGGCAGGATGGGAGCACACTTGTTTCCGTTTTTTGGTTTCTGCACCGCGACCGCGGCGATGGGCTGATCGCCCTGTGCTCCCCTGCCCCACGCTTTCTCGTGGCCAGCGGCGTACAAAGGCCCAGCGAATTTTGTTTGCGACGGGGGAGCAAGGGAGGCGCGGGATAAGGAGATACCTCGCGTTCCTTTACTCCCCAGTAACCACTGACCGCTACGCCACTGCCGGGAGGGTTGCAGCAAGCGCCGCCGCCGCCGTCACGCTCCGGGATATCCGGGTCAGTGGTGCGTCGGCCTGCCGCCCCTGCGCCGTTGTGCACTGCCGTGCGTGCGCGCGCGCACCCCCGACAACCTCCCCCGCACCCCCGGCCGTCGTGACGGCGGTGCGTATCTCACGGCAGGCATGTGTCAGGGGGCTCAGTGGCGGGGCAAGGCGGGCTCAGGCGAGGCTCAGGGCCACGCCGAACACCTTCCCTCCGCAACACACACAGCCTTCTGCACCGCACCGCAGCCGCCGCACACAGTAAAAGGAACATGTCGTTTGGTTCCAATAATAACGCCACGAGGAAGCGCGCCGCCGCCCATGTTGTGCTTCCGCAGGGCAGTGACCTCGCTCGCCCGCCCCCACCCCTCCCCCGCAGGCCCCCGTGCCGGAGCCGCCCCTGCGCTGCCGTTCGCGGGCGGCCCCCTATTCGTCAAACTCGTGGCGGGCTCGGCGGCGGGGCTCCCCGCTGCTGCGCGCACCTCCGCCACGTTAGCGGCGCCGTGTGCGATAGTCCTAAACATGCACGGCCGCGGGGCTATCCGGGTGTCCCTTTGTGTATTCAGGGCTACTGAGCCGTGGCCGCGGCCGCGGGCTGCGATGGGATGGGCAGGCCGGAATAGCCGGGCCCCGTATCAGTCGTGCACGCACGGCTGCCGGGCAGGGCGACGGCGACGAGGACGGCGCGAAGGCCGACGTCCTGCTGCACGACGCGAAGGTTCCCGTCGTTGTCGTGGCGATCAATCAGGGAGCGGAAGCACGCCGGATGCGTCCCTCCCCAAACGGGGCCCCCACGAGTGTGGCAGGCCCGAGGTACCCCAGCGAGCACGGAAACACCCGCACGATACACGCCCCCCAGCCACGGCCGCGGGCTTCCGGTGTGAGCCTGACGCGGTCCTCGGGGTGCTCGCTAGGAGTGCAGGGTGCTGGCCTACCAGGTGTCGGCGCGGCGCTGCCAGCCGGGCGTCCGGGAGTAGGCCATCGCCCTCTCGCCCGCGGACGCGTCGTCCTCGTCCATGCCCGAGGGGTGCGGCGCATCCTGGTCGGCGACCACCCTGGAGGCGGGGCCCTCACGGCTCGGGGCTGCGAGGCGGGGCGAGGCTGCCGTTGAAGCGACGCGGCGCGATGTGCTGCCATGCGAGCTGTCGTGGCCCAGCGGGGCAGGCGCCTCGATACTACCCACCCCAGCCTACCCCGCCCCCGGCGCGGCCCCCGTGGGGGTGGCGGGGGTGGCGGGGGCCCTGGCGGAGGCGTCGTGTGGTACCCCCTCCCGGGACAAACCTCAGCCTGCGTGGCGTGCTATATGTAATACGCCCGTCTGTACCCATACGCCAGCGCCCGCGGCGCCCGAGTGGACAGTGCTCTTAGTGGACCGACGCTCACGCCCGCAGGCCGCAGGGGCTCCTTCCCCTGCCCGGCCTGGTACCCACAGCGTACAGCGCCAAGCGCCCACCCGTGAAGATCCACCCTTTGCCGCGCCAAGCGCTCCGTTATTGATTCCTTGAAGGCGGTCTGCCGGTCCCGGCCGGTCCACCCTCTGCAAATTGCGTGCATGTGTTTGTGCGTGTGTGTGTGTGTGTGTGTGCGAGGGGCAGAGCGGGAGGGTGGGGTGGCGCTCCCTGTGAAGCAGGAGGGGCAGCGCGGGCAGAGCGGGCTCTACAACATGTCTCCTGCGATGGCGTTTGCCTATATAGCGCACGTTGCCCGCTCATTCGCGCATACAGAGTCCAGGGCCGTGGTTGTAGGGAGAGGGGAAGGGGAAGGGATGGGGCGAGGAGGAGAAAGGGGCGAGGAAGAGGAAGGGGAGGGGAAGGGAAAGGGAGGACAGGAGGAACTAGCAGGATAAACAGGCGGCCCGGACACGTCCAGGGCCGCCCGCCCCGCTCCGGCCCGCTTAGCCCCGCGTCCTCAAACTAAAGTGCGCCACAACCCCTCCACCCCAAACCACCTCACCCTCCTTGGTCGGTCCAGCCCTTCCCTTGCTTGCCAAAGCTCGCTCCATCTCGCTCCCTCCACCCGGTGGTCCTTGTCCCTCCGCTCCCTCGCTCCCTCGCTCCCTCCTCCTACTCCACCGCCACCCTCCCTCCGTCTCTCTCATCTCACATCTTGTTAGTTAGGCCACCCCGCCCTCCCCTCCCCGCCAATCCTAACATCGGGTCCATCGGCATTAAACAAGCAGAATGACAATGAAGTCCGGGCCGGAGCTGGAGCCGGCGGAGAGGAGAGGAGGCGGAGCAGCAGGGCCTCGCAATCCGACAATCCTCAACCAGCCCAGCCCCCCCCACATCAACCACGACAACCAGGCAGGCCGCCGCCGCGTCAACCACCACCGCAGCCAGGACCCTCAGCAAGGTCCACAAAGTGGCGGCCGCGGCACTACCCAGCAGGTGCACCACGGTGTACGGCGGGACCGCGTCGAGGAAGCGGTCGGGTTTGGGGGAGGGGGGGGGGTGTCCGATCCGCCCGGCCACCTTCCACTTCACGTTGAGTCCGCTGGGAAAGGGCGCATTTGGTCCAGGGGGGGCGAGGGAGGGGCTTGTAGTAGGTGTAGGCGTGGGGTGCTTGAGAGAGTCCCTCCATGTATTCAGCTGGGGAGAGCTACGCCAAACAGCCCGCCTCACCCCTCTGCTTCCCTCCACCCCCCACCCCTTTCCTCCACGCCCCGCCGACTACCCTCCTCTATGCAGACCAGCACGATGAGAACTCACAACGTCGCGAGCTCGCCGGCCAGGGCCCTCAGCAACCCGCCGTCAAAACTACTTATTGGCAGCGAAGGAGCACGGCGATGGTCGGGCAGGTATGGGGCTCACCTGCGGCCGGCACCGCCACCCCCCGTGGAGAGCCTCCGTTAGCCGAAGAGCTTGCAGCTGTGGACGGGCGCAAGGCGGACTGAGTCCGAAAACCGACCGCAGAACAAGAGGAACGAGGAAATGCAGCGCGAGGAAGGAGGAGGCAGCGCGGCAGAAACGGGCGCCTGCAGCCCGGAGGGGCGCCCGGTCTGCAACGCAGCGGCGTCGTGGTCGTGCCTACCTGCCGGGCGCTAGAGGCAGCGCGGCGAGGACCTGCGACCCCACCACTCCCAGCGTCCGGGGCAACCACGCCTCACGTCCCGGTGATCCGGATCGGAATGGCCCTGCAATTACGTTATAAAACAGCCGACTAAATTCCCCCTTAATTTGTGAAACGGGCGGAGAACAAGCTGCCGCGTCCGCCGGCTCCACCGCCGCCGCTGACTCCCGCGCATTTCCATATGTTACAACATGTTCCAGTCCCTCCCCGCCCCGCCCCGTCCCGCCACGCCACGTCGAGCAACGAACACCGGTGGCACGGACCCGGAGGGGCGGGGCGGCGGCAGGCACGCAGCGCTGTACGGTACTGCGCCCTGACACTGACGTAGGCACAAAGTCTCGAACGGACAGGAGAGGAGATGGGCTGGGATGGGATGGGGATGGTCTGCTCGCCC